CTCTTGGAGGAGAGACAAAACGTTTCACTAAAGAAGAACCCGTCCAGACGACCTACTTATTTTTACTTTTTGATTTTTTTCTACCTGGATTTGAACGTTTTCCATGTAGTTGCTCCAGTTGACCACTTGATGTCGTCTTCACCAGCATAACATCTTTAAATCATTTCTGAGTCACTAACAACGTTGGCCGATTGCTTTTGAGCTCCAGCGTTTAAACATTCTTTAAAGGAGCTCCGATTGTAAAGTAAAATAAATTAATGTATACAAAATTTTAGTATGGATTATAAACCTTTATTGTTTTTGCTATTGCCTTCCTGCTACGTAAGCAGACACAAAGCATTGTGGGAAATCAGAACCGTGGCCAAATGCAACAGTCCGCAAGGATGTATACCTGCTCAATAAGTGTGTTTATCTGGGAGGGGTGCTGTTGGATAAATCACATGTGTTGTGATTCATTGAGAGCCATACCTTCTGCTGTTCAAGATAATGGTGACTGGTAGATGATTAGTTATGAGCAGTACTGCATTATGATTTTAGAAAGTGCAAATCCGCTTATGAATTATAAAAATTAGTAAATCCGCTAAAGCGCAAGTGAAATATTTAGGTCCGCAATTAGCGGATTTGCACTTTAGCGGGCTTGTGCCCACCACTGGCAGTTAATGTTATTCAATGTTTTCCCACATTTTTACACCTGAAATCATCAGTGTGAGGTTCTGTCTTTCATTGGTTCTTTATTATAAATTATATGTTTTATTTGACTTTCTTGTGTTTTCAGTCTTTCTCTTCTCCACACACGTTCTCAGTTTGTTTACTCAGCAGCTTTTTGTTGTTTCACTTGTGATGGAGCGTCCCTGCTCCTTCACACTTTTCCCACAGACTTTGATTTAGATCACAGTTCTTACACACACATAGTTTACACATCGAGCCATGTCACCCTCAACTTCTCCTTTCAGTTAGTTTGCATTTGGTCAGTAAACTCATTATCGTGTCCTTTTCCCCTCATCAGCTTAGAACAACCAAGGGTTCACAGTTGAGGGTTCAGTTCAGGATAAACATGCATTTTAAACACACTGCTACTGATCAAAGTTGTTGCTGTCAGACAGGTGCTTCTCTAATTGCATTGAAGAATCAGGTGGGATCTTTTCATTTTATTTGATTTTGTTAACTGATTTTGGGTATTTATTATTAGGGTTTGTTAATGATTGGGAGAAAGTAAAACTGAAATGTTAACTTTGTATTTATTTCATGTTGAAACCAATGCACTTTGTTAGAAAGAAATGTAAAGTAGTTTATTGGGTAAAACTTAGGAAATGATGTGCCTGGTTGGGGG